TTGTGATCATTTTTAAATTCCCAATTCTGCGGCGAGCTTTAGGAGAATTTTAAAGCATTTTCATGTACAACCCATAATATTTTTACTATCGGCTAAGGTCATCTCACAAGTTAAGCGTGAAAATCTTTAGTGAAAAAACGCGGGAAATTTCTACCCACTTCTTCCTGGTGTAAAAAGTAAATTTTCAAATGGAAAATCACGGTCAAAAGTATGTGAAATAAATCGTTAATACAGATTTTTAAGTATATGTTTTCCTGATGTGTTTTTTGGAGATTCCAAGCTAACAAATAGATTTGTGTTCTCTGGCAGAAAAGTTTTTAAATAAATAAAGAAATATTATAGATAAAAGTAACAAATTACTAACCAAACTAAATATAATTAAATTCCTAAGAAAACCTCAACGATTTATCGCAAAATAAGCCAACGATAGAGTGGTACAATTATGATTTATATAGTCTTCAAATGTGTATGATATGATATCTTGGAGTTGCCACAAATTGAGCTGCATTTCTTTTGATAATTTTGATAGTGTTGATAGCCAAAGCTGCTGCTTTGCAGGAGAAGAGCTCTGAGAACTGTCTGAGCGACTGTCTGATGCACGCCAAGACTGCCCAAATACAGAGAAAGAAAGACCAAAAAAGGACCGAAAAAGAGGCTTAAATATACTTCATTGACATTTGACAGGCAGACAGACCAATACCTACCTCACCCTCCCGCCCAACGGCGCACTTCTTTGTTTCAACACCCCCCACGGCCCCCCACGGCCCCCACTGCTTTAATTTTATGCAGCGTCAAGGAACAAATATTCTTGAACATTTATTTGTTGTCTGGCAGAAGCGAAACCCAACTCAAGTCGCTCATGATGATGATGATTTCGATTCCACTCCCCCCACTACAGACTGCAGTCATATTTGCGAGTATCTGTCATATTCCATTCAAATTGAATTCGAAATTCGACTTCATTTGTGTCAAAAGTTAAGACTGCAAATACTCGTATTTGACTAATGATTTATGTATGTATGTTTCAAGCTATTTCAATTCCTAAAAAAAACCCAAATGTAATCCCAAGAAATCCACTTCCTTGCAAAGAGGCATACCTCTGTACTCAGTCATAAAAGATTTAGTTACTGAGGCAATTGCTCAGATTCAAATGAAATGAACTCGTAAGTAAACACGCGAGCATGTTTCGCAAATGATTCGATCCATTGTGCTTTGTCGGCCCCTCAAAGATGTGCCGCATCTTGGGCGTCACTGAATTACGAGTACTATTATTATTTGAAATATTAATGGAATTAAGCTGAGCCAGCGTTGCCCCCCAACTTCCACTCGGATTATAGTTCCCATGGGATCGGAGCGCCCGCATAAAGGCTATACAAGTGCCTTCGACACAAATTTCTGGGAAGTCTTCTGGGTCGAAGCGGAAGTTGAGAGTGTTCAATTCTGCGAAAATCATCAAAATCATCGTCGTCTGCATCGTTGGCGGCTGAGCAGCGCAAAGGCGTGGCTTGATCCCTGAGGATCCTTCAGGGGTTCTTTGGAAAGATCAAAAGGATATCTGGATGTGATCTTTGAATCTATAACTATACCTATAGGTTTATCCAAAGATAGTTCATTCGAACATTTGATCGTCTCATAGCCTCTGGGTTGAATCTGCAGTCAAATGATCTATATTTTCCTCTCTCTTCGCTCTCACTGTACGTATGATATCCGCTTCCAATATCCGGTCAATCCCCGTTTCCAATCTTCTTCATCATTCAATCTTTTCGGTGCTCCATGTGGCCACACTTTCGCCTAAATGTGCCATTCATTCTACCCCCAGTCTTGCGACAATCTGTTCATATACGAGTACTCCGAGCCGTGATTCATACGGCTTGGTGGGTTTGGTCGGTTGCCTAGTCGATATGGATGTGGATGTCGATGCTACGATCTGGAAACTTGTCTGCGGCTTTTGCAATAAATCAGGCGAGGCGGCGATCATGTACAGAGCCATGTTGTACATGCCTTGACTTCGATTTGCAGTTGTCAAAAATTCGCACATTTTTTCCCTTTTCGATATCGGCCGCCACCGCCGCCACCGCCACCGCCGCCACCGCCTCTGTTGTTGGGGATTGGCCTTCCCAGTGCGTCCCGGGACCCAGTGCGTGAGTGCGTGTGTTGTTCGGTTGTCATTGTCATGTAGCCGGCAATTAAAATTGGTCCCCTTTGGCCCCCTTCGCATTCGTTCCCCCCGGCTCTGGGCATTGGGAATGGGAATGGGGATGGGTACGGGTATGGGTATGGGTATGGGCCACCAACTCAACTCCTATCCAATTGGCCGGGGCAGCTGTTAAATAATTTATGAAGTGCGTAAGGTCTCGGTCTCCGGCACGCATTTCAAGCAGTTCGAGACGAGAGCTCGACTCGACTCCGGGCCAAATATTTGCGCATCGCTCACGCACTTTTTTGTGGGCTTCGCGTCGTTCAATTTTTCAGCGTCTCGTCTGCTTTTTGGGGCCGGCTTGGTTTGGTCTTGCGAGCCGGAAAAATATTTGGCCACGCATGTTTTTTTCTTCGTTTTTTGTTGCTCATTAAACATTTTGGTTAACTTTTGCGATCTGCATGCAAATGCCGTTGATTAGGACGGACCCCAAAGCCGGCGGAGGCGCCGAGTACGGGCCAGATTGGACAGAGCCATAAATCAATAGGTAACCAAGACACGCTGACGATACGATCCACACGAGCCAAATTGAAACTGGAGCTAAACCTGAAGCCCCCTCGAAGCCGAAGCCGAAGCCGAAACTGAAACCGAACCTGATCTTGGCCCAGGCGGGGTCATGCCAGCCGGTCTGCAAAGGGCTCTGCCCCTGTCTTTGCCAAGTGCCAAATGCCAAGGGGTCTTCCGGGTCCTCTCCGCTCTGGCCATCTTCCTTGTCAAGACTGATCACGATTGCTCGCTCAACCTTAGCGCACAGTCAGGCAGTGTCGGAGTCCGAGTCGGAGCGGAGCGGAGCGGAGGTTGAGGGCTCCTCGTCAAGTGTTAAGCTTGCCACAGCCATACCCCATACTAGACGCAGATAGAGAATCGCAGATAGAGAAAACGTCCAGCCATACTCTGAGCGGAGCCTGATTAATTATGAATTGAGTGTCTGCGCTGCCTGCACTTGCCCGCTGCACTTGCACTTCTGGCACTTCTGGCACTTCTGGCACTTCTTGCACTTCTTGCACTTCTTGCACTCTTGCTGCCCGCTGCACTTGCGGCACTTTTCATATTTTTACGCTTGCAGAGTTCGCGACGCCGTCGACGGATGACTTCATATTGTCTGAGTGCGGGATAGGGGGCTGGCAAAGAGGAGGCATTCGAGCAACAACTTTTGTCACGCTATAGGCCACCACACCACATACACTGCACCAGCCAGGAGCGGACTCCAACGCCACTGTTTCACTACAAAGTTCCCCTAAGCGAATGGTCATAGACGAACACTGATCATTCACAAGAACCGATTCGGTTCATTCGGTTCGCTGTAGCCCTGTTTTACTACGATTTCATACAAAGTTCCCCTAAGCGAATGGTCATAGACGAACACTGATCATTCACAAGAACCGAGTCGGTTCATTCGGTTCGCTGTAGCCCTGTTTTACTACGATTTCATACAATGTTCCCCTAAGCGAATGGTCATATTCAAACACTGATCATTCAAAACGAACGATTCATAATGTTTTACGATAAATTCCAAAATGAAGATCAGTCTACGACCATGTTTCAAGATTGTTAACAATTTGCAATGTATTTGGGTATATAAGTACCTAAAGCTATACAAAATAAGGATGAGGACTCAGGTTAGACCAAAAAGCGACAGAAGTCTAGGATTTTAAAGGAAAACCTCTAATAATAATATATTTTATTTAGTTTAACCATTAAGAATACATTTTTGGCTCCATTACATCCAAAAAATGGTGCCCATTCTGCTGCAGCAAAGCACCCACGGCTCAGAAGATCCGCTCCTGCCCTCCCAAGTAGGAGTACACTTGCAACGGCTGGGCTGGGCATGCACTATTGCTCAACGGCACGTCGCAGTGTCTTTATCATATAAACGGTGCGATTTAAATTAATAATTAAACCCTGCTTGTGGTTGCGGTCTTTGGTCTGGTCTGGTCGTGGTCGTGGTCGTGGTCGTGGACTTGCTGCTGTCTGGCCAGGCCCGGCCAGGCTATCTGCCTTGCAGGTGGATATGATGTGGATTAAGCTGCCCCCTCGATGCAATAAATCAACGGGGACATTGGGCTTGTCCAATGTGTGCAGCCAAATGAAAAGTTTCCTCCTCACGCCGACCGTCTCGTCTCGTCTCGCCTCGACTCCGCCCCCATGCCTCGTCTCCGGCTCCAACTCATCTCAGCGAATCCATTATCCATACGGGAGCCCAACCTCATTACAAACTGGGCGGTTCATCACCGACGAACCACCAAATATAACTTATCATATAGATTGGTTAGGCGTATCCTTGCTGCTCCTTTTTCACGGTTTCTCCATGGTATTCTTACGAAAGGGAAGATTTGTGTGTTTTTTTCAAGACCTCTTTACCAGAAAATTAAATGGATAGTGAGAGAGAAAAGAAAACCGAAATTTTCGTTCAGTCCGAACGAATCGAATACCGAATCGATTAGGCTACCTCGTCATGCAGGACTCATCGATACAGGAGATGGGAAGGAAATCCAAAAGATTCAAGTTTGAGAAAATTCCGACTACTATTCAGAACTATAATCTGAGCACTCAGAAGGCACTGCCCTTGTTGTTTCATTATCTGGTCTAGTAAAAAGAAAAGTTCACAGTAATTCCGTAGCTCCGATACTCTGTCTTTCCTGCCATTTGGAAAGTAGGACTTAGTAGTACAACATCTTTTAGAGAACCTAGTTTGGCTTTGCCTTAACATTCACTAACTCTAAAGCGATCTGGCTGATACAAAATTCTCCGTACACGCTAAAAAGTTCATCTTAAAGCGAAATAAGCCTCTTGACAAGTAAAAATGGTAGAGATTCACGGCCTTTTCAATAGCCTGCTGGTGGTCAGCTGCGGCTGCGCACTGTACACCTTTGATCCGGTAAGGACCCCGTATGCCTACGGGGCGGCGGTCCTGTGTCTGTTCCACGGACTGCTGGGCGTGCTGCGTGCCGCTTTCAACGCTGACGACGACTGCAATCGCCTGAGTGTGATCTCAGCGGGAGTCATGGAGATTGCTCCGCTGAACCTGGTCAGCATCGAACTGCACCTGAAGTCATCGCATCCCACCCTGGCAGTGGCCCACAGCTACTTTATGGTGCCCCTCGCCTTGGACATGATGGCCAAAATGAGCGGTACCAAGGACGTCTTCACGGATAAGCTCAAGCAGCTCACAGTCCTGGCAAACCTGGCTTCACTGCTCTACCTGGCCATCGATTCGTCGAACAATATTTACGAAGCCAGCTATGGCCTTTGCTGCCCACTTGATACTCGAGGCCCACTGGAAAGATCGTGGGTCAGAACCTTAGGCTGCTGGCCAATACCCTTTTCATTGGACTGATGATCCTGACCCTGTCGGCCATGTAAAGAGGGATCTGCGCCATCCCTCAGCGCTGTCGGGACCTCCAAAGGGGAGCGACGACTCAAGGCTGCGGGCGCGCGGTTCATTGGCTCAACAATGGCTCAACGGCGGCTCAATAAACTTGCAATTAATGTTGGCTAATTAAAATGCGAAAATAAACATTAATTGTTTTGGCACACACAAAAAAATTAAGTGTCGCCCCTCGTCATCGTCATGGGCGTCGGCGTCGGCATCGGCATCATCCAGACACTCGGCAGACTCGGAGCTGGGATCTGGGAGCAGCTGGGAAACACATTTTAGCCTCAATTTACAACGTTAACGGGACTTTCCAAGGATCCGCAAATTAGTTGAACTGGTTCGGGGTCGGGGTCGGGGTTCGGGACTTGGGGTTCGAGGTTCGAGGTTAGAATTTACGGAAATCGGGAAGATTGTGTTATAAAAACTTCTAGAACAAGGCTAGCAATCATTACTGAGCAGATCCTTGGTCTCTCGCTTCTCTAGGAGCCTGTATCGCTGCCTACTTTGGGGCGCCTCTGGGCGTTAATCTTTGGTGGCGAAACGCTAATGAAACGGCGCCATAAAAAGGGCTAACTAATGTCCCGAAAAGTGCCGCGAACAAGGAGGGAGGGGCAGAGGCAGAGGTAGAGGTAGAGGTAGGAGCCCAATAATTTATGCATTTTAATTAATTGTCCGTTTTTGGGTCCCTGTTCTGGTTTTTATGATGGCTCTCTCTCCCCCCCTCCCCGTAGTCCCCCATTCGTGTGCGGCACTAATCATGTCGTCATTTGCATTTCGATGAATCGCCCGACTGCCTGCCTGCCGCCCGGTGGAGGAGGGGGAGCCCATGCGGATGCGTCGCACAACAGACAAATTCATTTTTCAGCTAAAAGACGATCCATTTATTTTATGAATCAAAGCGCAGGAGGAAATACATACATACATATCTCCAAGTCGGGAGAAGATAACACAGACAACAACAAAAGAAGATACAAAAAAATACAAAACTTTTAGCCGCACAAAAAATTTAAAAAATGTATAAGGCAGAAAAAAGCCACAAAAATCAACAGAAACCGAAAGAGAAAAACAAAACAGAAAGGGCACAGAAAGGAAACGGCAAAAAAAACGCGCGCGCAAAACTGCACGCCGAATGCGCGCCGGCGCAGCGACGTCGCTTCGACTCAGTCAGTCAGCCCGTCCTCCGCCACTCCACTCCACTCCACTCCACACCAACCACCACTCACACAGTCGCTCGGACAAGTTCAAAAACCTGCACTCTTCGTTGTTCGTCTGTGAGTCAGCCGCCGCAGTCGCAGTCGCCGGCGCAGTCGCAGTCGCCGGCGCAGTCGCAGTCGCCGGCGCAGTAACCGACGCAGCGCACTCGGGAGTCGGTTAAAAAAGCCGGCCGGCATTGGCGCAGTCTCTTTTCTTTTCTTTCCTTTCCTTTTCCTCCGCCTTTTGCTCTTTTGCGTGTTTATTAAAAAACGACCGAAAAGGAAAGATATGAGTGTGCTTGTATGCATCATCGAATGCCAAAGCTGTTGATACCCTTTCAGTGAAACATTATGCGATTCATGTAGGTTTCATGTAGGAAACTATTTACTTAAATCGAATACCTATCGATTAACATTTTTACGACAAATATGACTTTGATTTAGCTATAAAAAGAACTAGGTACAGCGCTTGTGCTTTTTACCATTATATGAAATATCAAAAATTTCTCTCAACGAGGTGTTTGTCATCACTCTTTTTTATGATAGCTTGACATCATGCAAAAGCATACATATAAATACATACATAGATCAAAGATCTGACCATTTAGATGGATTATCTAAATATATTAAATGTTGAAATGTATTAAATGTTGGACATACGGATATGGCTCTATCGACTCGAAGGTCTATGTGGCTTCGTGGGGTGTTGGAGCTGCTTCCTGCATGGCAAACAGCTGGTCAAAATCATAATAGCCTCTTCAAGAGTGTACAAACGATCAGCAGCAGATCAGGAAGAAGCAGAAGAAGTAACGACGACGGCGTTAAACAAAAGCAAAAAAAAAAAAAAGAAAAAACAAAAACAGAAACAGAAAAAAAAACGATGCATGCAAAATGAATGCGGACATCAGAGAGACGGCGAGAGAGTGCGAATACGGCTAATGAATGCGAAATGGAACACAGATACAAGGAATGCAAACAATGCAGGCACGGGGTCGCACAGTGAATACCCTAACCGAGAGCTGGTGTTGTACAGCTACATATGTATGTATGTTCCAGGAGGGATGCAAGTGGAAAGAGAGGTTCAATAAAAACAAAGGCCATGGCTTTCAAAGGAGATAAATAAATTTTGTGTATATGTTAGGATAAGTAGAAATTCCATTTTAAAAAGTGTTCAAAGCAGTTCTAAATTTGGAAAACATTGAGAGACTTACGGTATGTTCTTGCATGCCGTATCAATGTGCTCAAACGCGATCACAAACGCAGCATGCCTTGGGACGCAGGTAATCTCCGCTGCCATACATATCTTTAATGAGTGCCAGCGAGTGTTCATTCGAAAAGAAACGCTCAATGCTGCGCCGACGCCAACGCCGACGCAACCGGCAGGGGCATCTCTTCACGGCATCTCTTCAGCGGCTTTGTGTTCGTGTGTGTGTGTGTGTGTGTGTGTGTGTGTGTGTGTGTGTGTGTGTGTGTGTGTGTGTGTGTGTGTGTGTGTGTGTGTGTGTGTGTGTGTGTGTGTGTGTGTGTGTGTGTGTGTGTGTGTGTGTGTGTGTGTGTGTGTGTGTGTGTGTGTGTGTGTGTGTGTGTGTGTGTGTGTGTGTGTGTGTGTGTGTGTGTGTGTGTGTGTGTGTGTAAGCGATGGCGCGAAATTTAAAAAAGCTGCGCTTCAATCGCCGATGGGCCTCCAATCGGGACTTGGACTTTTGCGACTGGATTTTGTTGTTGGACGTGATTTGTTTACGAATCTTAACTAAATATGTACACACAGTGCATTAAATTACCACGAAAGGCGTCGTCTGTTCAAATATTGTGCATTCACAAATACGCGATACAGAAAATCACAGCTCTGTGTACCATTTGCACTGTGCAGGGCCCTGGGCCAGGGACAGGGACAGGGACGGCCACTGGCACCCAAGCCAAAGCGCGTCATTAGGCGAAATGATCGGAAATATCAGTGCAACAGTATAACCGTTACGCTGCTGTGGCAGCAGCCACAATGACTCACAGTACTCGCAAATACACTCGCACTCGAACACACAATCATTTAAACCGGATGGAATTACATTGGTGTGTTGGGGATTTTAAACAAATAAAATAAATAAAATATCTTAAAATATTTATCTTAAGCATCATAGCATGGCCAATGAACTGTAGACTTGATGAATTGGAAGTAGATATTGTAGTTGTTCACTCGAAGGAATTCCACTCATAAATAAGATGAGATTCAAAGAGGTAACAACCATTCAATGAGAACAATTTCGCTATATGTACATATATATGTATATTTATACGAATCGATGGAAATATTCATTGACTGCCATAATATTCGTAAACGAACACAAATGTTTATACAAATTTGTATATGTATTTACTACATGATTCGCATGCATTCAGCTGACGGCTGAGAATGAATCATTCGAACAGAACGTCTAGAAACAGATTTCCAAATGGCATTTGTATACATTTTTCTAGTGTAATGAGCTCTCCCTCTCACACATGGACACAGACTGATTCTGAGAAATAACAATAGACTTATTACACGCCGAAGGTTAATCATTCAATGATCATAATCATTCTGGATGGCTGCAGTTCCAATTAGCATGCGGGTTCGATCTTCGATGGGTTTCGGCTGATGGCCTGATGGCCTGATGGCCTGGTCTGTAAGCTCGGTTTCATTTGGCAAACATTTCCACAGATCAATTATGAGTGGACGGTTAACGAACAAACACACACAGAAGATACATATCGTGGCTTCGTGACAAACTAGGAAGTTGAGCAAACCGAGACACACAGAAAAACTAGTTGCTAAATTAGTGCAAATCATTTGCATTGATTAAACTTAATTCATATCGGAATGCCCATGTATTTGCTTCGGCCACTCAGCAGATCTTCTCTTTTTGGGGCATTAGCATTCGACGATGACGTGATGCCTAGACCCAGACACTCTGGGCACACTCCGGAGCCCTGCACCTGTCGCCAGATTGGCCAAGTCTTCGTCATAGGCCGATCGTCCCGTCCACAAGCCACAGTTAGAAAAACGAGTTTCCAGTTTTATTGTTTGAAAGACACCGATATTCAGATATTCAGTCTCCACTTTTTTGACCATCACCGCATGCATATTCATCGTATGCTTTGTCCGTATATATTTATACGTGTGTGTATGTAGGTATGTGTGTGTGTATAATTATAATAATAATCGTTATGGTTATGCATTAATTGAATTAGTTATACCATGATTGTCACATTAAACAAATGTTTGCATTTGGGAAAGTTTTCCTGGACGAGCCTCTCTCGGATCGGATGGTTGGTTTAAGCAGATCCATCACGGGTAGATATCGGATGAGGAGCTAGAGGCTAACGATGGAATCTGGCATCGTTTTGAAAATTCTTTATAATTTTAGCGTCTGTTGCCGTTCGCTTTGTTCCGAACCGCCGAAAGCCTCAATATGGACAGTGCAGATACATATTGTATTTTCGCTATCGGCGTTACACAAACGTCGCCTGATCTGTTGCCTGACACATTTTCCACTTACTCCGGGTCCGAGTCCGAGTCCGAATCCGAGTGCGTGTCTGTGTGTGCCACAGCACTTAGAGAGAAATGTATGTGAAAAGTTTCGCTGAGGAGAAAGGCGAGGAGGAGGATGGGAGGTCTGGGGTTAAACATTTTTGAAAAGCATTTTCCGTTGTCAGTTTTTTGTTCGTCGAGACAAAAATATAGATGTATATGTATATATATGTCTTGTACATAGAATGCTCGTAATATGCGTCATTTGGTCCGCCATGTGAACTGTTTTTTTTTTTTGGTTTTGGTTTTGGTTTTGGTACCGATCCCAATCAAAGCTCAAATCGCGTAAGGATGAAATTCAAAACCCGAAAGGAGGAAAACAAAGGCCAGCGGAATTCGGCATTACCTGTAGAAGAAGTACTCCGGTAGTCCCGAAAAAACGCACAACAAATAAAATAATGCTGAAAAGGACAAACTTTCATTCAAAGCAAACAATAATCAAAGGCATAATGAATGCAAAACAAAACAAAGCAAAGCAAAACAAAAAGAGAACCCAGCGAGATGAGATGAAGAATAAGGAGCGGAGCGGAATAAAGGTGGTTGAACCCCGGCCCCGTGAGGAGGAGCTTTGCTGTGTCCCGTCCCGTACCGTCTTTGTCCTGTCCTTGCCAGCGTAGGTAACCAAAAGTTCAATTTTTCGTGTACAGTCCCGCCAAAGGGTTTCTGTGTCTCAGACTTGCCGTCGTTCCTCTCTAGTCTCTCATTAACTCAACTCCTTGTCTGAACGCCACTTGACTAAGTGACGTAGCAAATATTTTGTGTGTCCGAGCCATTAATTTGCCTTTGGCTGGAAATTTATACGTATGGATTGATATTTGAAGTGAGTTCTACGAGTATCAGTAGATTAATCAAGTGCCAGACAGAGCCTATCACATTCCAGTCCAGGTCCATTTCCATTTCGTTCCAAAGACGGGATGGAGGAAGCCGGAGGAGGAGGCTCTGCCGCTTTTATCTTACGAGTGTGTGCACGCCGTACGCCATATGCCGTACGCTTAGTTTCAACACATGCCGGGTACGGCTCCCGCTCCGTGTCCGGGGGCTGACCACTTGTGTGTGTGGGGGCAGGCCAGACTTATCGCACCTTCGATCTGAAGTGTAAATACAACCGAACCGAACTGAACCGAAACGAAAGGAAGCCCCCTCCAATGGTGCCCACCAATGTTTATGGTAATGGCAATAAAATATATGAAATTAAATTTAAAATAGTTGACGTCGTTTATCAGTGTTTGGTTTTGGGGCAGGAGGAGGTGCCACAGCCACGTTAGTTTAATTTAGTAGAGTTCCCCTGAAAATTAAATACAAATATTCTTTATTTATAGCCGAAATCGGTATATGGAATCTTGGGAGATACGAGCAGGCGGCAGAGGAAGTGGAGTCTTGGACTGTGTTTACTTTTCGGTTCAGTTCGCGTTGCATTCCCGTGAGACCTCCTCGAAATGACGAAATCATCGCCAGAGTCTCCTCCTGGCCAATCGCCACTCGAAATGCTAATGGCAGTCAATGAAGACTTGAGATTTTTTATTACAATACAACTCTAGGAACGATGAACGATGAACGATGAACGTGCCGACGCGTCGGGTCGGGTCGCTTTGAGGGTGGCAGGGACTCAAGAAGCAATCAAGAATGGCTTCTTGCAAATACAGAAATCACAAATTCATTGAGTGCCCAGGGGAACCTGGCAGCCGAACATAACGCCCGCAAAACCCATAAAGCGTACAAAGTACGGCTCCGTACCTCCGTCTCCTCTATGAACACTTTTGGGCCTAAGGTGTCTACAGGTGTTAAGACACACATATTTCGTTTGAATTGAGTTGGAGAGCCGAGTCCAACTCGTTTTCGATTTGTCAATTTTTATGTTTTCACAGTTACGTGTCTGAATTTGGTTAACAACTCGCTGGAGGCTCCCTGGAGCCTCGTCTCCCTGGTATCTTCTATCTGCTATCTGCCATCTGTTGCCGTGTGTGATCTCTCGTACGAGTATGTGAGTGTCATGCCTAAACTAGATCGCAGAGACCCTAGGAATCACCTTTTGATTGTTCGCCGCCGCCACCGCCATTCCGGGGTGATAAGTAGACAACGCAGACCCGTACGCAGACCCGTACGCAGACCGGTACGCGTCGTCTTATTCCGTCGTTTCCCAATTCAATTTCAATTTTCGACCATAAATGTAATTGTAATTGTAATTGCAATTGTCTGGGCTCGTTGTCAGCTCTTACCCTCTGGGCGATTGCCATTCAGTTTGGCAACAAAAGTTTTCCCTTCTTTCTTTGCCTTTCTTTTGTCTGTCCGCCCTGTTTGTTCTGTTTGTTTGGGGCTAAAACGCAAATTCACCAGCCCGAGGATACAGGAGGCAGGAGACACGAGGAGGTTAGCCAGGCCAGGCCAGGCCAGGCCAGGCCAGACATAATTGTTAATTTCTGTTTGAATGCAGTTTAATTGATGCGCATAATTACCCCCTTGTCAGTGGCTGGCAGCCGGGCAAACATGTTGCTGCATGTCGCTGCATGTCGCTCCCTCTAGCACTATCCTGTTTCCTTACAAGTTTAGCGGAAAAGCACAGAAAGGGGTGCGCAAAACCACCCCTAGAAAAGGGCCTTCTTTTGAATCCTAGAAGTACCCTCCAGGGAATCGAGCACTTGAAATTGGATTCCGTATCTTGTACCTTGTTGAACTTTCGATATGGGGTGATCCTCCTATTTTTAAGAATTAAAAGATATAAAATCGTATCGGGTTGGGGTTCTATGCGGTATTCCAATTAAGATTGTTATTAAATATTAGGAAAATATTGTTGTTTAACTACTAGTAAATAAATGTATCTACAAAACAATCCAGCCAATGAATTTAATTAATTTACATACCTCTTTATAATTTTAAGTAGAGTTATATTTCAATCATAATTTCGGTTATTTCAAGCTAGAACGAAAATTAGGAAATAATTAATAACATAATTAACATAATTAGTACCAACTAGAGCTTTAAAAGTATGAAAAAACCTTTAAACTATTCATAAATTGAAATAAATTACATAAAAGATAAAACAAAAAGTAAATAATCCAATTGACCCCTTATCCAATAATACTAGGCCAGAACATTTACACTTTCTCTGATCGATTTGGAGCTATAAAATTGCTTAATGAATTATGGTTTTTTAAGTTAATTTTTTAATGTTTTTTTTTTAGAGGCAGTGTCTACTTTTTCTGGTTGGAAGGAACTTTGCAATTCCGAAAAGCTGATAAACGCAGCTATAGATTGGATCTAAACAGTTTGCAGCTTCAGCTTACCGTCTGCGAATATTAGGCTTTCAAATGCAATATTGATCATTTATTTGCGGCTTTCGACTTGAATTTTCACATTTTATTCCTGCATCCATCCGCTTCCCAACCAATTACTATTCTAGTTCGTACAAGTTTTCTAAGCATTCGAGCAAATTAAGGA